TGAGGAGAAAACTCACTGAAAATTTCAGTTGAATCATCAATCATGAATCTCATCCTATGAGAGAACCAATCCAGCAGTAAGCCAAATTTTAACATTAAAAATTACATATAACCAAAATGTATCATCTGCTTCAGGAACCCCATTCTCAGGGATTTACAGCAGCAATTGCAAAAATATTTCAGTACAGCTATTTCAAATTGCTCATGTGTGGCTGAAAAAGGAATCAATGAATGCCTGATTTTAGCAGCCACCAGCACCATCCTGCCAGGCCACAGTGACAGGTTTCAGCTGCTTCTTGATGAACTTTCAATGCTGGCTCTCAAACCTCTGGTATTTCAGAGAAAACTCAGCTTTTGGCAGCACTCGTGGCAAACGCAACCTGACTTCCCAGGAAAACACTCATTGCACTGGTAAATGCAGATTCTCTCCTGAACTGCTCCATCTCAAAAGGGGCAAGGAAAAATTCACTATTACTTAGTTGAGCCCAGAAGAAAAACATGACCCAGGGCATTTTAGGCCAGCAATTCTCTTCCTCCACTGACCCTGGAAATCCAGAAAGAAGAGACATCTTCAAGAGCTTGTGGCAAAACCCCTTCTATAGGGTCAGGCTATTTCTGGTGTCTCTGCTCCCTAGGTGATCACTCAACATTCTGATCATAAAATCTGATCCAAAGTCCCTTACACGAGTGCAGTGATTCCATTCTGAGTGTCCYCTTCCACCCTACACTCGCTCCTAGAGCCTGGTGTTTGTGACCTGACTGCAGCCACCTCCAGCCAGTTGCTCTCTCCTCTTCCATCTTCCAGAACCCCAACTAATCTTAAGACACCAACAACCCCCCTGCAGATCTGCTCCATGCAAGATCAAAGCCYGTGCAGTTGTTCGGGGAGCTTTTCAATTACTCCTCCAGTTTCYATCATGAATTACAGCAGCACTTGAGGAGTGCCAAAACCCAGAGGGATCAGTTACTCCTGCCCTGTGACAGGCAGCAGGCTGGGGCACACGGGACAAGCTGTAAGCACACGGCATTACAGTGTGCACAGACCCAATTTTGCTGCTGAGTGATTGACAATCACTACTGGATGTCACTATTTTAAGGATAATGTCATTTGTGTAATTATCTGGCAAGGTCTCTCCTCAGCGGCTGGCATTATTCACAAGGGAAGAATTAGACTGAAATCCAGCTGCAGAGCAAGGAGATTTGCTATTCTACACAGACAATCACTGTGCTTTAGGAGCTCGGTAGTAGGGTATGTATCACTTGTCATTTTCATACTCTCAGGGCCAGAGAATATTAAAATGACACTGCTTCTCTATTTCACTGTGCCATATTTGTCATGTGAGTTCATACTTAAAAATATTTTAATATTCTCTGTCCTCACCTGACCATCTGTTCCTTACTGGAGCTCAAGCTAAGAAGAGACAGAGAAGCTGCTTTTACTTGACAGATTCTACCATCTCACCATCAGACAGGAAAGTGCCCTCAGCTATTCTGGTTTTAGAGAGTTCAAACCTGAGTTTATCTGCCTGGGGTAAAYGATGTAAAGTCCCAAACCAGACAGCATTTGGCCCAACCCACAGAAATGGCACTCCAAGAGCTGGACTGGGGTTAGAAGTGGTCCCAGCAGTACAACTGTAACCAAACAGCAAAAAAGAAAGATTTGATATTATTCTTTGCAGTGCTGGCATGCCACAAGCAGGACTGAGCAGGGCTACAGCAGACCATGSTCAAAAATGTGTGCTCTGCTGCTGGATTCCAGGTAACAGCATTCCAGAGGACAAAACTGTCCCCTCCTCCTTCCCAGTGTTCTGGACAGAGCGATGCCAGAGGTGCTCTGTGAAATATGGCAGAAAAAACCCTTTCTGCACAACCAGACTGTCTCAGTGCTGACACCTCCCTGCTCCAATGCCTTAGGATTTTAGCTTCTATATTTTTCATTTATCTGTATTCATGTGTCTCTTTGGTGTTCAGTGCTAAGATACCGTTCTTCCATTTTTAGACAAAACAATTCCTCTCTAGGCACAAAACTCAAGGACACCTCACTGTGCCAGGCCCCAAAAGGTGGAAACAACAGTGAATTGGGGGGAGCAAACTTGGAGTAAATTACTTCACTGGCTGCAGCTGCAATTGGAGGATTCACCCCCCCCGCCCCCGAATGCACTTGAAGGCCCTACAATAAGTAAAAATATATAAATATAACTGCTTTTTATTCTCTTAATTTTGTCTAGCCTCTGTTTTAGGTAAGCTGGATTTTAGGCATCAGCTACATCCAAGAAAAGACCTCTGGGGCACAAGAGAGGATTCTGGTCAAGTGGTCATGCTGCCCAGGGGGGCTCTGCACAGCAGCTCTGCTCTATGCCTTTATGCTTSAGATGACAGGGGAGCACTTCAGCAACACAGAAAGGAAAAAATATAACCAAACTGCCCCCTGAGTACAGAAAAATGACAAATAACAAAGGAGAGCTATGTATGGGAAAGAGCTTCCTGAGAACAGCCGTGAGACCTGGAGCGGAGGCAGTGATGCTCTGAGCCTGCTGCAAACAAAAAGATGCCAGACATGGACAGGAAGGAAAAACCCCTCCTGTAGGACTATAGCAGGAATGAAAACACTTTTGGTGGCTGAAATGAGTGGCACTGGAGAGGTATGTGAAATAAATAGGGTTTAAACGCAGTAGGGACTGCAGGCAGGCAGAGGCCTTGTTGTGAGCGGCACATATAGGCCTTGAAATAACGTGGCAMACACTATGGCAAAAGAGCCTTACATTCACCTCCCAGAAAATCTAGGAAGGGTTCATGTAATGCATTTCCCTCCTGGAAAATGGTGCACCTTGGCCAAAATGCACGGAAAATGTGGAGGGACTGCCATCCCAGCTGACAACTCATTCCTGGTGGGCAGCAAGCGACGCCTCTTTATTCAAACAGCAACTCCAGCTCTCATCTCAGCCGTGGGGCTCAAAAAGCAGGAATAAAACCAGAGCTCACCGGTAAATTATGCCTCTTTCATGGAGGAACATGAGAGCTGAGATAATTTCTGCAGCGTAGAACCGGGCTCGATCCTCGTCGAAGCGCCGCGACTTCTGGATGTGGAACATCAAATCGCCGCCGTTGACAAACTCCATCACAAAGAACAGGCGATCCTGCATGCAGGCAAACAAAAAAAAACGTGAGCAGCATTAATCACACCCTCACCCAGGCTTGGAGAAGTCTTGGTAAAACTATTATCTCCCAAAGAAAAACAGATTAGGTAAGCATAGACGGTGCGTGGGGGGAAAGGGTTTTTTTCAGGAAAAGTCAAGTTGATTTCAGGAGGATCTGTTAGTACCTCCTTGCCCTGCACTCCTCCCAAAAGTTTTGACCCCGGTTGTGAAAGGAATTCCTGCTCACATGTGGATTGGACATGTTAGTAGGGGTGTGTTCATCACTAATCAGGTCCCACTGGGTTTCTCTGAATCATCCTTAGCCTCCATCAGCAGGRAATGACACCCCTTCATCTCCCTGAGCTGAGTGGCACAAGAGAAATCTGCAAAAAATCCCTCACCCCCAGTAAACACCTCAGATCTCTGGGGAGAGCTGCTCCACAACACAATGCACATCACCAGACTGCAGCACTGTCTCGAGGATATCCCAACATTATTCCTGGAGAATGTGTGCTATTTTCCAGGATGGGATTTCCTGCCATACACACACATGGCAGATGCTTTTTGGGCTCTCAGGTTCCAGCTTTCCTCTGATTAACCTGCAGAGACCTCTGGGCGATAGAGGAACTGATAAAGATGAAGCACAAATAAAAGTTTCTGCTGAGCAGAAAAGCAACCTGTTTGATAAAGTTCAGCTCTTGATTAACCACAGCTGTTGGTCTCTGAGGTTTCTTTTTTGGCTTTGTTCTGGCYTTTGCAAAACCCAACAGATAGGGAGGCACTTGCTTAAGCTGAGTGCTCARCAGTGAGTAGGGGTTTCGTATCTGTTCAATTGATTGTGAGAGGAAGGACACAGAGAGCTTTGCCACAAAAACAAACCCTAGAATTGTTGCTGTCTAGTTCAAAAATTTATCTTAGCAATTGTTTCAGGACATTCTGTATTTATTGTTTCAGTTTTACTCCGAATATCAGAAACAAGCAGATTKGAAAACAGGCACAGAACTCAACTGAGACCATGCAAGCTTTCAATGGCAATATTTGTCCTTTTTTTCCCCACAAGCCTCTTCCCAGGTCTGATGTTAATTATCTACAAGCTACTTTTAAACCCTCTCTGAGTTTAAGAGGATAAGCATTGTCGTGCTGCACTTTCTGGCAGCCAGCCAGCTTGAAATGACTACTGGTATCAACATCTCGAGATGCACATGGCAGAAGGAAAGCAGCCAGAAATTCCTTCATTTCTCAATGGACACGAGCAGGAAAGCAAACACCTTGTGACACAAGGACAGCTTGCTCTGCACTGTTCTGCCCAACAGCTCCTTCTGGGCCTCTTCCAGAAGGTTAAGATCATTAAGATCATCATTAACTCATAGAATTATCTGGGTTGGAAARGACCTTTAAAGATCATCAACCACTAATGCAACTCTGCYAAGCCCACTACAGAACCATGTCCCCAAGTGCCACACATCTTTTAAACATCTTTTAGGATGGTGACTCCACCACAGCCCCTGGCAGATTGTTCCAGGCAGCCTGACCACCCTTTCAGTGAAGAAATTGTTCCTAAGATGAAATCTAAACTTCTCCTGGTGCAACTTCAGACCATTTCCTCTCACCCTGTCCCTGTTCCCTGGGAGCAGAGCCTGACATGCCCCTGGCTGCCCCTCCTGTCAGGGAGTTGTACACAGCCAGAAGGTCTCCCCTGATCCCCCTTTTTTCCAGGCTGAGCCCCTCCAGCTCCCTCAGCTGCTCCTCATCAGACTCATGCTCCAGACCCTTCTCCAGCTCTGTTGCCCTTCCCTGGACACACTCCAGCACCTCAATGTCCTTCTTGCAGTGAGAATCCCAAAWCTGAACCCAGAATTCGAGGTGCAGCCTCACCATTGCCCCCAGCACTCTCACAACCCCACTGCAGCACCAAGGCCACGTGTCAAATGCCATCTCCAGTCCATACAAACACCAGCTCATTGTTCCACTCTGTCTTTATTAGAGGGCACTGAAAGACACCCGAGTTTTTCCATGGCAGCAATTTGAGCCAGAGCAGCACAGACTGTGCAAACCCCAGCAGCCTTGGCTCTTCAGCCCACATCACCCTTCTAATGCCACATTTCACTGCAGCTGGCTGTTCTGCTCCTTGCCAGTCGGGCTGGCTTTTCCATCTCCATGTTAGTCCTTCCCACCTCCTTCCTCGCAGATCACTCCACATGACACAYGCTGATCTAGCCCAGCTTGTCCAGGCATCTCCTCAAGCCCACACTCAAAAAAGAAATCCCTCTTGCCAGATCCCCAACAGGAAGCAATTTAATTTACCAGCAGCCTAGTGTGTGCATTTCTGTAAGTGATACATATACTTGTATAAACATGCACGCACTTGGGTGAACACATGGATTTTCTACTCTTCCCTTAAAGGTGACCTTCAGGGAAACAAAGTCAACTCTTTTTATCTTAAAACATATATATTTACCATTTCCAGTGCAGGCAAAGCTTCACAGCCCACCTCAGAATTCTGGATGCATTCATTTCAACTGTGATGCTTAAAGGAAGACACTGCTTCTTTCTCAAATTTTCAGGGGAGCACCAGAACAGCTGATTTTAAAACTCACATTACTGCTGCCATGGAATTAGCAGCTTTTTGCTAAAAACKGCTCTTGCTTCACACTAACTGCAAACCTGAGTAAATATCACTGCACGTGTTACACAGTCACACCCACCCACAGGCTCGTTTCATTGGCCAAGCATAAATGCAGAAATGCAGAACTTTGGGCTACTCCATTTTTTTCAATTTTTTTTTTTTTCAAAATTTTTTTCAATTTATTTTAAGGAGGTCGAGCTTATTGTCTGCCCATTTTACTAACATTTATAAATCCCACAGGGCTGCTGAAGAAATGAGCAGGGTGGGCATCACAACTGGTTTATTATGCAGCATTTGTCCATTGCTTTGCTACATGCCTGGAAACAAGAATCAGGAAAATCAGCACTAATGACCATCCTTTGGGAGAAAGCATCACAAAGCCAGGCAAGGCCTCCCATTTTTAATCTTTAGGAAGACTATCAGCTTGACAAACTGCGAAGAACAACCACTGTCCCAGGAATCATTAAGAAATAAAATAAACAGTGGTATCCTATTAAAAAAAAAAAAAAGAAAAAAAAGAAGGGGAAAGGAAAAGAGAGGAAGAGAAGGAAGGAGAAGGAGGGAAGGGGAAGGGGAAAAACAAGGAGAAGAAAGGGGGAGAGGGAGGAAGGGAAGAAGAGGAAGGGAAAAAAAGAGCAAAGAAGAAAAAAAAGAAAGAAGGCAATTTGCAGCCGGAAGAGGAAGGCCAAGTAAACAACATCAAAAGGGGCCACAAAAAGTAAATCTTAAAACAGCATATAGTTCAGACATTTGCAAATTTGACCTGACCTAAGAGTCAGTTCAACATCTCCTTTCTCAGGGACTACCAGCGGGAATTAGGAGGAGTTGAAAGCTGGATTTTTTTTTTTTTACAGTTCTTAATGCTGAACTCCCCACGTGTCGATTTTTCTATTGTGCATTGCCCAGAAGTCTCCCTGATCTGGTATCTCTGTTTGACGTAGCAARAAAGGAGCATTTGAGTCAACAGGAAACACTGACACCAAAGGCTTCACAGCAAGTGGCAGCCGCGGGAGGAAATCACATTGCACCATTCCTGGACGGGGATCAAGATAATAAAGTCTGAGAGCAATTGTTACTGTAAATTAAAGAAACACTTGGAGGAAACAGAGTCCCAGGGATTGGGTGGGTTCATTTCAAGGCTGGCCTACACCTAGGGATTAACCCTGACAATTTCCGTGTAAGAGAGCTGGTTGGGGGCTTCTTTTGTTTGTCTGGGGCTTTTTTTTTTTTTATTTTTGGTTTGTTTTGGAGGGTTTTTTTTGTTTCTTCTTTTAAAAAAATTATTTGTTTTAAATTCAGTTTTCCATCCCTATTTGTTCACCTATTAGCAGGATGTTGGAAGCCCAGCAGATTCTGACAGCAGTTTCATTTACCCATTATATTTGTTCAGTGTCTTAGAGGAGGTTTGGTGGGGCTTGAAAAGAGTCCCTGACTGCAAAAGCCACCGAGGACAATCCACACASTGGTTACTGCCCCTTGCAACCACTGAAATCCATCTCAACCAYCACCTCAGCCCTCTGTCTTCACCAGCTCTACAAAGCTATTCTGGATTCTCATACTTTTCCTCTTTGTCATCACAGGGGAAGAAAAAATAATCCACATTTTATTAAAAGAGCATCCTTTCTCTCCCTGTGCCCAAAAAGGACAGTGATGGCCAACTTCTACCCTCTTGTAGTTAAAAGTCATAGCTGATATCCATGTACAACCCACACAAGACCAAAGACCTCAGAAAACAGCTGGGACTTTATATCTAATCAACAAAAGCCCAACTTTACCCCCCCAAAAATATCACCCTGGTTAAGAAATTCCGCTTAGTTTGCATTTCATCTTTTTGGAAATCATTAATGCACACAGCTCCTTAGCAAATCAGCTGTGGGCTCAATCTGAGTTCACCGAAGCCAAAGGGTTTCCCCAAGAAAACAGGTTTTTTTTTTTCCCCTGTTTTGGCAGTTTATGCTCTGCAGAGCAGAAGGCARGCTTTCCAAACCATCCCCAAACAGAGACAGCTGTGTCGCTGCTTCCCAGAGAAACTTTATTGTTTCAAAAAAAGAGTAGCAGGGCTCAGGGAGCTTGCAAGCAAATTATTACAAGATAATTACAAGAGCTGGCAGGCTTTCTCAGCATTCCCAATGTTCTCCCTTCGTGGTCCACAACCCCCACACAAAGCAAATGTGCCCCAGGTCTTGCTGGGAGCGAGCAAATAAGCCGTGGTTTCTCAGTGCTGGGCTCCAGAAAGCCACATGTCCAMGTCCCCAGCAGTGCAAGTGGCCATCTGTATCTGGGTCAAGGCACTGCASAGCACAGGATCCACAGGAGGAATAAAAAACACAGGTTTTGTAACTGAATATTAATCTTTGTAGGAGTCTCAGAGGTT